GTCACTAAGATTAGAACTTCCTCATAAAGATCTATGGAGAAAATAGAAAGACTTTGTAAAGAAAAGTTATAGATTAGAATTGCTTCACAGTATCTTATTCAATTTCAAAAACTACTTTATGAAGGAAAGCTATTACTTTTAGAACCTCCTCATAAAGTTTAGATATATATATTAAAGACTATGTGAGAGATAATTATTGAATTCTGAACTGCTTTACAAAGCTCTAAGCCAGATTAGAAAAGTGATTAAAACCCAAATGGTGAGATATACTGAAAATAGAAGAATAGTTTAGAACTTGGTATATTCACTATGCAGAAATCCAGATTTCTAATGTTCAGTAATAGATAAAGCTTATTCCAGTTTAGAAAATCAAAATTATTAACAACTTTAGCATTTCTAAAATATAAACTGAAGTTATAAAAATGAATATGAGTAAAATAGTATCAACCAGAATTTCAAAAATAAAACGATATAACACAGTTAATTTTAAATGGTCAGCACTAACTCGCCCTAATCCACGCCCAAACTCATTCTGAGATCCATCAACTGATGTTATCTTTTTCAGGTAAGAGACAACCAACAGTACAGGCATAGATCAACTCCTAATCTACCCTTGTCCCACTAGATTTTTAATGTTCTAGTTAACCTCAAACCTTTCTGTTTTTGCGGAGGAACAGACAAACTCAAATCATGACATTAAATCTCTCTCATAGTAGGTACAGTGATACCTATTTCACAACTAAAATACACAATGTTTTCAATAAAAATTTGTCTACAAAAATTACAGAATCTAAATAGACAGTCAGAAATGCAATATATGCACAAGGAAATAGGTATTTAAGATTAAAATCGTTTTTGTCAGACTGCTTTTCAAAGAAGTTGTTATAAAATTTCTTTTCTCTGTTTTTAAGATAAACATAGTAATAAGATGAAAGAAATAGGGGTGTAAGTTTTGAGAGATTAAAGATTTTATCAATGGACTTATACTCTTAAAACAAAAACCCTTGCATCATTTAAAGAGAAGACGCCCTTCTATAGAGAGGGATGAGAATCCCGTATTTCGAAAGCAAGATCTCTTTTTCAAATCAAAATATTAACTTTCTAAATTTAGAAGATATGGAGATCTTTGTTTTCAAAAATTCTTTGAGTTAATATCGTTTTCTTTTAAGGCAAGCGAATAAGAGAAGATTTTAAACTTTTCTTTAAAATAATTTTTGAAATTTCGAATAATAAAAAAATCTTTTTCAAAATATTTTATTACAAAAACAATTGAGATAAAATCTTTTTTATTTAGGTAAGTAAATAAAAGCAAGATTTGGATTTTCCTTAAAAATTAATTTTCGAAAATAAAAGCATAAAAATCTTTTTCGAATTATTTTATTACCAAAAACGATTGAGATTATGAAGATATTTTTTGAAAAATAAGAAAAACTTTTTCTAAGAATTTTGTTACCAAAATGATCGAGACATAATCTCTTTCATTTTAGGTAAAAGAATTAAAGAACGAAAAACTTTTAATTTCTAAGTGAATATTTTTCAAAAATACTTTTGATAAAAGAGAGAAGAATTAATTTTGTTCTTATAAATGAACATTCTCTCTATCTTACAATAAATCCTAAAAAAAAGCTAACCACTAAGATCTTTAATGGTCTTCATGATCTTTGTTTATCCTTGGATTTATAGGATTTTGCCTTGTTTATTTATTTTACATATTAGATCTGCAAAAAATAATATTAGCACAGATAATATAATTTAAATTTATTTATTTTGTTTTAATCATCAAAATCTCGAGATAACAAATTGATCCTTGAGCCAACACATAGGTTTGCATTTTTACCCATTATGAGAAGCGGCATCCATTGATGAATGGTTATACAAAGGCGGTCCTTAATTAGTTTATTTTTATCTCTATCAAAATGTGAGTTGATTCATATATCTTATTCACTTTACTTTAACTTTAGGAAAAATTTTAGAAAGACTCAAGTCAAGTCAAATAAACCAATTTTGCGGATGATATATCATGCACTTATAAATTTTGGTAATATTATTGAAATACCCCGAATTTTTATTTTCAAAACTTTCAAATTTAATTTAAATCGAAAATCGAAAATTTTGACCGTGTGGGCTATAAATATAAATACAGTCTCAAATCGAGTCCAAGTCTGTGAGAATGGGCCCAAGCCCAAAATGTATTATCGAAACTTTTGATTTAAGAACATCTAAAATATTTGAAAAATAATATGGAAATCTGGCTACTAATCTATTATAAGAATATATATAAATTAATCATCCTAAAAATCAAATATCATTACTATTAATGTTTTTATTATTATTGAGTAAATGAAGGAAATGTTACGGAACCTAACTAAAATAATCAAAAATACATCGAAACGGACCCAAAAATCAAATTGATTTTTCGAAAACCACACGAATAACATGAAAACCAAGTGAAAAACCTGCAAACAGAGTAAAAATCGAGCCAAATCATTGAATTAGACCAAACTGGTTCGAATCGAACCGGAATGGTCTAGAAGCTCTAGATTTTTTTTCCTTCTTCTCTTTTCCTCTTCTTCTTCTTCAGTCGCGCGACTCCCCCCTCCTCCCTCTCCTTTCGTCTCCGGCCGCCAAACTGATAGCGAGGGATGGCGATTGATCCCTCTCATGCCACCGGTCACGTCGCCAGTCCTTCTTCACGTCGATCAGGTCCTCAGCAACGATGATGCGAGCCTCTTCTTCTTAGCGACGCAGCAGCAACTCTGGCGAGATTAAGCAATTCCAACGACGTCAATGCAAGGGGTAGGCGTCGATCGAGTTGCCTTTACCCTGTTAGTGTTTTCCCTCCGCTAATTCCAACTATAAAGCTTGAATGGCGAAACCACCATTAACGGTGACACCAAGCAACTGTCGGGTCCGACCCGACTAGCTAGGGGACTGATCTCGCTCAACCGACGCCAGAATCGGACTCCTGGTAGAAAAACCAGTCTAATGGTGTAAAGATAGTTTTTTCAGGTAATAGTAAGAAAGAAAAGCCCTATGGAGTTGAAACACTTATTATAAAAGACTGTTAATGATGGAAATAATGATGTAAATGTAAAGGTAGAGTTTCGCAATTATATTCTAGATGGGTTGTAATTGGATAATCAGAGCACATATATTAATATTATAGATTGTATTTTTAATATATTAGTGAAATAAATTATTGAGCCTGAAGCCACATTTACGAATAGAAAATGGGTGTAATTAATATAGGCCTATTACGAGCTTCGGGGTCCTTAAGCCCACCTAGATCCTAGTGCTGGTCCGGCCCGCAGAGAGGGTCGTGACAATTACATACCTTTTGACACTAATACAATTTTTTAAAAAATTTTAGCTTTTATCTCCAAAATCAACTTGATATGTAGTTAGCATGACTTTTGAAACAATAATTTTCATAACTTTCAACTTGTTAATGAATGTTTGATTAATTTAATTTTGTAAGTTGAAGAGTTCAATAAAATAAATTTGAAAATTGAATTGTTTAATATGTATAATTTTATAAATTTAAGTGTTTGATAGGTCAAAATAGAAGTTAAGAGTACCATAAAATTAAAGTAATAAAATTTAAGGAGTGTTTGGGTTACAACGATAAGAAATAAAGTATAAACTTTTCATTGAGAAAAGAGATTCCCACGGCCACCCAACTCAGATGGGGATTGTCCATGTATAAACCATATGTGTACAAATTTTTACATTGATTTGCAACTCAAAGGCATATATTAGGAAGAAGAAGATGACAAAATTCCTTAGAAATTTAAGAACTTTTTTTAGCTCAGTAGTGTTTATACCTTTGATTTTCATGGCCATGTCAGCAAAAGCAATTGAAGCACAAGAAGGGCAACTTCCTAACGATGAAAGTAAATCAATCAATATGTTTTTTTCTCTAACCCCCAACAATGCAGAAAATGACAAGCTTTATATATGTGCAGTTGAAGCTTTAAAAGAAGTAGCAACACTGTTGAGGAAAAAAAGACTGAAACTAAAGTAGTTGGGTTTTAAATGGAAGGAGGGATGGTATTTAAGGGCATTATGCTATTTTAATAGCAAAAATATAAGAAGAGACAGACAGACTATTTAATGAGATAGAGGGAAACCTCAGATAAGTATTATATATAGAATTTTATTTTATAACTTGAGAATTCTAAACGTACTATATTTTCATATTGAAAGGTTCTTTTTCGATGTACCACCATTGTTAACTAATAATGCAATATCTAATTTTCTCTCTTTGGCTCCATCTTTTTTTGAATAGTTTTATTGAATTTTTTGATTTTTTTTAATATTTAACTATTATAATATGAGTGTTGGCAATATCCAACTATATATATATATTACTACTGTAATATATTCATAATTTGGGTTTTATGTTTTTGGGTTGTCATTTATAAGAGGTGACTAAGTAAACATTTTACTAAAATTTTTTGAAAAATTTTCTATTTAAAACAATAAAAAACATAAATTTGTATTATCTGCGCATCATGCGATAACATAACTAGTTTATATAAAAATTAAAGGCAACTTAAATACCCATGAAAAACTTGATCAAATATATATATTTTTTTAAATGTAAAATGTCCCATCATCATCATGGGTTTATTATTTTGGTTATATATTGATGTTTAGGGCTGCAAAAATGTTCCGCTTGATTTTATTTTTAAAAAATTCAGTCAGATTTTTAATTTTTAGTTAAAAAATATTTAAATTCTTTTTATGATTCAACTATTTTTTATTATGAAAAACCAAAAAATCTGAAAATTTAATTAAATTTAATGTAAAGATTAAATCAAAACTAAAAAAATCAAATCCAACAGAATTAAATTAATTTGATTTAATTCAATTATATAAAATTTTCCCTGATTTGAATTTCTCGTATTAAAATTTAATTTATTCAATTGTTCTAATCTGATTTAGCTTCGATCAAACGGAACCCTAAATCAATCTAAATGAAGTTAATTAGACATAGCGGCAACAAGTTCCGGAAAAGACAAATTAAGCTTTTATCGGATTATGAAATATTTAAAGGTTAAACACTTGAATGTAACACAGCACAGCTTCTCTTTCTACCAACGAAACAATCTGTTTTTGCAGGTGTAGACTCGAGTCACTCGACTAGTGGAGATAAAATTCAATAATGGTAATCTTTATATTTATATGCATCTTCTGTTGCTGCTTGTTGGTTTTGTGGTTATCATTGGTTTTGAATGGTTTTTCTCATTTAGCATTATTTTTCAATTGATTTTCTACTCGACAAAACGTCGATTAGATAATTAGAAGCTGTGAATTCAAAGGGTCACTGTTGTTTCTTGTATCTCAAACCCATTTAATCTGTCTTCTTGTTGTAATGTTATCTTCTCCTTGCCCAGAATTACCTCAAAGAAAGTCTCTTTCTGCAAATCTGGGTAACTTATCTCAAACCCATTTAATCTCTGTTCTTGTTGTATTATTATCTTCTTACAGATGAGTCTCTTTCTGCAAATCTTGTTAACGTTGATGGTTTGCTGTCAGATTTTTGTAGATTATGGAGTTCCTTTTCTTCTTAATTTGGATTAGGAGTATAACTCATTGATAGGAAAGCATAAAGTTTAATTTTAACTGCAGAAAAAATCAAACAAAAATCAGATACTAAACACCAATAAGTGACCTTAAACATCTTGAAAATTTTAGAATTATTAATTATCCTTGACTCTTAAATGAATAAATTTCTTGCGTTCTGTTGTTTCTCTAAGGCTAAATAGCGTGTTAATTTAGTATAGAATTGTAAAACAAAGGGCGTAAAAATAATTTATGATAAAACAAAAGAATGACAGAGGAGAAGATCATTTGGCAAATCTAGTTTGTTGGTCAATTTAATTCTCTCTTTTTTCAGAAAAGATGGATAAGCAAATATTTTTAGTTCCTTTGCAAGAATACGTCGGTGTTCTTGACCTAGTTTTTCCAGAAACAATTATCTATCCATCATTTCATACTCTATCTCAATGTCTTTTACAGCCCAACTCCAACAACATTGTTTACCAGAAACTTTTTTAAATTGTATGAAACTAAAATGCCTCAGTCTCAGACGTTTATCAGTTCAAGATAAACCAAAATGAAAACAGGTGAAATAGACAAGAAATATACTTCATGTCAAGGTATAAAATTTGTCTTATTTGGAAATTCAAATCGTTTTTGCAATCATTCTGGATTTTGTGAATCAAAACTGACTAGAAATTTGAAAAGGAAACAGAAATGGTGTTAGCTATCATTATTGACCTTTATGAATCACATTTGCAATTGTCTTTTCATATTTGTCAGACGGAAGGGATCACTTCTTCATTGGGTCTCTTCTTTTCCAAAATGGCAATGGAGGTAAAAAGATAACATTACTCTTTCGTTCCTTCCAAAACCCCCTATCATGACCAACCTTATTAAAAAACAGATGAGGTTATATTGAGTCCCAAGAAAATTGGAGAGGACTCTACTTTCCAAATCCTACTGTATTTTGAAGATGTGAGCATACTACATATTTAGCTGTTTGCATGTGTATTTGCATTCTTATTGAGTTCAAGACTGGCCAATATGTTCATCTCCAGAAGACCAAAATGCATTCTCTTCTATACTCATACCACAGGACAAACAAAACAATGTTTTCTTTTCCCCCTTAATCAATACCATAATAATAATGTATCAAAAATACGATTCCATCTTTTTTTTTTTTTTTTTTTGTTCTTTTAAAGTAGAATAACTACTTGGTTTTTCGTTAAATCTTCTTGTACAAGTCTTATATACTATGATTAAACTTTACTATATTCCATGTCGATGTTGCATTTTTAAGAAATTTTAGGAAGTGGAAAAAAAATTTAAAATTTATAGCTATGTATTAACTATTACAATCTATGATGCAAAGAAACTTCTAACCATGAGTGTTTCGGCTTTCGAAAACATTTCCATGTGTCCATTTATCCATATAAAATACCGTTTCCTCATTTAAAATTATATTTTAAATGTTGTTTTCTCGTATCATTTCTGCTTCTACACGTTTCTTCATTTCCATTTCAGTGGAACATAGATTAAAACTATCATGATCTACAAATAGTAATTGAGTCAAAGTTGCAGGTTGTACTTAAATCCTCTCTTCCGCTTCATCTTATTTGATTTTATTTTATTTTTTGAACAAAGAAAGAGTCATGTACTTGCCACTACCTATCATACGAATATCAGAGCTTGTGATACCATTTGCTTTGTTAACAGAAAGCTGAAGCTATTGGGAAATGTTGTGACAATATCCAGTGGAGTGCTGGTCCAACTCAGGTTGGGAAACTAGGATGTGATGAGAATTCCAGTGATACTCCTATGAAAGATCAAGAATGCATCAAAGAAATGAAGGAGATACATGCTTACCTTGACATGGTATATCCTTACCCTCCCTTCTGAAAAGAAAAGGACAATTGTGGCCATGTTAAGTTAGATTTTATACATGACTTGACCTTAAAATGAATGTAAATAAGTGGCACTTAGAGATCGTTTAAAGAGGCTCCTGGTAGAGTTATTCTTTTCTTAGCGAGAACTAATTGACCAGAGTATAACTATATTTTTATAATAGATGTTTTTGGAATTCCCAATTTTTTAAGACATAATTTCGTTTTTGCATCTCATTCATTATAGCAAAATGGCCGAAAAGAAATGGATCAAGATGTTCAAACATAAATAACACGTGTTTACATGGTATTCAAAATTCCAGCTGTTTGGTTTGAGTATACTTGCAGTTTGTACATTTCCTTCCAGGTGAAAGAAATGGTGAGACCAGGTTGCTCACAAGAAATGTTAAAAGTGGCTTTGAACTCTATGGCGTCCCCTTTCAACACTCTCACTTCTATGTCCTCAGAACCAAGACCCTATGCTTCACTCTGAACCAACTCTTAATAGTCGCATGTGTTACCTGTAGAACAGAAGTACTACCAGCTATGCATAGATTCCTCTTGAGAGAATGTATTTTCTTTGGAGAAGACCAATAATGATCTACATATGTCTTGAAGGACCCCAAGAGCATGTCTTTTTATTTTTGTATGTATGTAAATATGTAAATGTTGTTGGAGTTGGCACCTTGTGCAGAGTTCTATTATAAAACCAAGAAAGAAGCTTCGCTTTACCGATGTGGGATAAAATCTCTTTTTGAAATTCAATACAACAATCCCCCAAATATTTCAAAAAGATGACTCAAGGATTTTCGCTGGGTTTTTTTTTTTTTTTTGTTTTTTTTTTTTTTTTTTTTTCTCGCATTCGGGTATGATGTATCGGTTTTGGTGTATTTAATACTATGAACAGAACTAGAAAATTAAGACATGACCTATAGAATATTTGGCGAAACTTTAGATTTCTATGAAACAAGTATTCATTTTGTAGATCAAAGAATTCTCATTAATCACATTATACCTCCCCAAATTCTGCTGTTCAACGTAAATGTGCGCCAATAAGCCATGCGCGAGCCTGGTTATTCATGAGTGCTCTAGAGATTTTAAATACACTGCCTATAAAGGACATGAAATAAAATTAAGAGTTTTAGTCTCCTTTACTCTTTATTGCAGTTTTGCACTATCTATACCATATGAGGAACATAAACTGATAATGCTCAACAAATCAACTAACGACTTGTTATTATCCATACGAGCCTAATTCATGGGATCAACCAATCTCATAGGTTAGGTTGCCATCATTGTTGATTTCTCAAATTAGCCGTAGTCTTATTCTCCTCGATGTTTCATTTATTAATTTCCTTCCCAATAATTTTGTCAGAGGATCGACTATATATATATATATTTGAAATTAAAATTTTTAACTATTTGTCATCCTGTACACACAAATATGTTCATTTTCTTTAAAAATAATTTTTTAAAAAATTTAAAAATTTTTAAAAATTAATTATATATATTCTGTATATTTGATTTTTTTTTAAATACCCAATGAAATCATACAAAAAAGAAAAAAGAATATTAATAAAAAGAACGTATATTTTTCTTTTTTTTTTTTCACTCTCCTGAATATTATAATCAAAATAAAATAAATAAAATATTTAAAAAAATAAATTTGAAAAACAAAATTTAAGAATTTTCAAATGTCTCATTATCATATACATTTATTTAAAAATAAATTAAAACCAGATAAAACTTAAAATTTCAAATACTTAATTATCTACATGTATTTATTTTAAAAATAATTTTAATAAATTATATCCAATAAAATAAAATGTAATTTTTAATTGGCTATCACTAAAGGTCATTTTAGAACATTGCAAATTTCATCAAGGGTATTATCGACAATTCCATTATTCATTCCATATTCCCACATTTATATATAGTATAGATGAATCCAAACACAATGTTTATGCATTTGAAATGCGTTAAAACCATTAGGAAAAAACAAAACCTCCCTAAATTATAGTTAAATAAACACATACCTCATTGCATATTTGAAGACTAACACGAGCTTGAGAAACTTTACAAAATCTGTAACATCCTAGACTTGAAACGCCTTAATTTGATCATGCAACTATTTATGAACATGGCATATGTGATATGAATGTATATACACACGCATTTGCAATTGCTTTATGATAAATATTAGGCCATGATATGCCTAACTATGAATATGCACATGAGATATCTAATATGAATATAAGTCAGCAAATGCATGAATCTGATAAATTCAGAATCTAAGAAGCTTTGCACTCTGTCTTTGATATAGAGGTTGCATTTGTATTCTTTTTAGTCTTCCAATATGACTATATAAGGTGTTCAGGAGTGGGTTAACTCAAGTAAATATATTCTGATTGTCATGGAAAATTATGTTTGTTTTGGTGATTAGATTGATAAAGACTTCCTTAATATGCTAGTAAGAGATTGTTAATCACAAGATTATAAGTTAATTGAAGTGGAAAATGATTGTGGAGATTAATTAGGAGATGGTTAAACGTGTTGAAATTATAGCAATGAGAAGCTAGCACGTGAAACACCTTAATTGGTATTCTGATTAAGTACTTAATGATTTGAAATTAAATCATCTAAGATGTTTAGTTAAGGCCTAAATGAGATCAATTAAGTGCCAAGGGAGGGTTATGGACTTGATTAGCATAAAAGAAAAGTTATAATTACAAGTGTGGGTAAAAACATGAATAAGAGGGACTTTGAGGAGTTAGGAGGGATTTGATGGTCATGTGACTTGCAAATGAATTTTTATCCTTTATATACCATGTGATAACCTAAATAAGAGAAGGTTAAACATAAAAGAAAGGAGAAAGAGAGGGGGGCCAAAACTTAAGGAGAGGAGAAGAAGAAGAAGAAAAGTTGATTTCTTTTGAAATTAGCACTTGAAATTAAAGAGTTTTTCCTAGAAATCATCAAAGGTGAGTTAGTTGTCATTTAATCTTAAGTTATCTACTTGATTTAGAGAACTTGATTTAGAGAAGATATAGTTAGGGTTTCAAAGAGAGAACTTGGGTAAAAGATGATTTTGATGAATATAGACGAAGTAAATATTATTTTAAGTGTTAATTAGTTACTATTGATTATATAATCTATGAGTTGAACTTTAATTTGAATGAATTAAGAAAATCACACCTAGGGTTCTTGGCAGGAGGTTTGGCCAACATGGGAACTCCAGGAAAATGATGTTTTCAATTTGAATTGATTCAATTAGTCAATTAAGCATCCTAATAATGTTATCAAGTGTTGGTTTGAAAAAAGAATTATGTTAAAAAATTGAAGTTACCATATTTATATGGATATGGAAGTTTAAGGAATTTAAGAAGTATTCGTTAAATGATGATATCATGGTGAATCTTAATGATGTTAATTGATGAGTAGTTGATCGAGTTAAGATTACAGGATTGTTTAATGATTGTTTAAGAATATATGGGATTCTCTGGGAATTTAAAATGCAAGGAGGAATAAACATGTTAAACATTTAAGTCATGCACACCAAGTGTTTGATTAAATGCCTAAATGAGTATTGAGGTGCTTGCTTATTCATATAGGTAAGAGGATCCTAGAAGGAGGTCAAGAAGGCTCTTCCAGGCCTTGAAACTGCAGCTCTGTGTACTGTCTGTGAGTAAAAGCTTATGATGGTTATTTTATGTGATGAATGTTTTTGTTTGATATCTCAGTTATGAAATTATTCTATACTTGATATTATGATTTGAAAAAGAAATGACTTGTTTGAAAAGAGGCAATTAAGCAAAAAGGTATGTATGTGCTATTCTGAGGCCACTGAGCTTAATCTGTGAATGCAAAGCATATGATTCATTCTGAAAAGGGGTAACTTAAGCAAAAAGGTATGTGTTATTCTAAGACAAATGAGCCTAATTGGTGAATGCAATTCTATCATATCTGCATCTGAGATAAAATGAAGTTATGACTATCATTACCAACTCGTAAATCTGATTTGAATGTGGAGTTGCGTGCTCATAATTTATATCTGGAGCTACGTGCTCATTAATGTAACACCCACCGGCCAATCACGGCCGGCCAATCACTGGAGAACCAGAACGGCGGATGCCATAGATCGGTGCTAGAGCACTGTTTAATGTTAACTTATTAAAAGCTAGATCACAAATTTAGAAGTGGTTTAAATTTTCATAAGGAGCAAGTAACTTCACATTTTTCTTTTTATTGTTTCAAATTTTTTTACAAATATTTTTTAAGGCGAAAATTTCGCAAGAGTTTCCCCTAAAAATTAACTTGCCACACAAAGAAAAGATACACACTTCCAATTTTCTCCAAATCCCCAAAACTCCAATTCAATACAACATACCACAAGCACTTCTAATATCCATCAACATACGCATCATATTCTTAACACATTCTTTTCAAGGAATATATAATCATCATATACCAAAAATATAATAAGATGTTATTTCCTTAAATAATCATAACTCTTAATACATTATTGTTGACGCGTAATTTTATGCCTCCACCCGACTCGATGATGATATGAGGATAAGGGATAAGGCATCACGATCAACCAGAAGTGTTTAAACCAAAATCTGAATCAAACCTGCCCAAAGGAGCCTAACCCGCATTAGGGTTGCGTCACGCGGCTACTACCTGCGTGACGGCACTCTTAGTTGCGTCATGCAACTCTAACAGGGCTGACACCTCTGGCGCGCCCCCGTGTAACGGCCTGCACTGTTTGTATGGATACGCGGCAATTGTACGAAAAGTAAGTCGCGTCACGCAGCTTACGGGTGCGTCACGCAGTCATTCGTTTTATAGGTAACAATAAAATTCATTTTTCGTTAAGGCTTCGTACTCATGCAGAATGAAAAACAGTAAGCAGATTTGATCGGGCCTATGTTATGCGCCACCCCCCATTCACATACTCGTGGCCTATGACAAAGCACCACCCCATCACACAAATAAGTGCGTTCGCGCTATTTATAAAGAGCGAATAACCCTAGCATATGATACAATAGCTTCACAATAACAAAATCACATCTCATCATTACCACGTGTCAGATCATGCATTAAGTAGAGCCCAAATCAAATCATTCTTTCACAAGAAGCAATAATTCTTAATCAAAACCTCTTCATTTCTTAATAACGCATCAAGTTCAAAATTTTTACTCAAAACACTATAGATTATATATTATACTTTAATTATAGTAATAAAAGTCCATAAATAAGAATTTGGGCAGCATTTTCATAAAACTTGAACCTTTGCAGGGTTTTAACATATAAATTTGAGTATGGTCTCCAAATTGATGAAATCGATTTTCATTAGAAAGCTAAAAAATTCTAAATGTTCAGGAAGGGACCACAGCCCAATCAAAACCAGTAGATAACAAAACAAAAGCTCAAAGAACACAGACCAACAGATCCAGACCTGATTCAGCAGAACCAAGTCCAATGTTTCTTGAATTCCTACTGTCACAAACATCAATGAAACCAATCCAGAACAAGAGAAGTCTCAGACACAGGGAACATAATTTTAAATGAGAGAATCTCAGAACCTAATTTGTCATTATTAGTGGTCAAAATGGGCACTCAATTTAGTAATGCATGTGGCCCGACACCAAATGATGCGGATTACATCACCAAGCCACATATGAAGCCAAGGGAAACAAGGACCAACAACAATGGCAATCCATTAGCACTTCCTAATGGACCATTACAAGGAGCGTGCGAAAGAAGTATGGAGCCAACTCATCGTCTTAATTA